CAGGTGAGCCAGTACAGGACTCCCGTGCAATCGTATGAAATGAGGTCAAGAGCTTAATTAGTCCTATAAAACTTTCACTGTTCCAGTTGTCTGTCCAATCTGACCATCGAGAGTTAGGGCTTTCATTCAATTCCAAGTTAATTTACTTTCCGCCCCCGCCCCTTCTTCCTCATTTAAGGCTATCTCAAACCAAGTGAAAGCACAGCATACGCAGGACAGAAAAACAACCTAAAAAAAGATTCCTGTCTCATGATTCCAAGTTTAAGGTAATACCGAAATTGCCAAAGCTAGAAAGTAGGAATGAAGGTGTCAAGCATTGATTTACACCAAGTTCACTCACAAACACGTAGTTTCTAAGTCGCACTCCTAGCTCCCTAGATGGTCGCAATACGCACAGGAATCCCAAAATGTTAAGGCATCAGTGACCCAGAGCACAACTGTTTCTGTGCTACACTGCAGTTGAACCACTAAAGGATATCTTCAGAGATGTCTCAAGACTGGAAACAGTTTTATAGAAGTAGCTGTATTCACACGCACAAAGCACTAGGGTGTTATTTGGAAGTCTCCTGAAAATCCTGAGCTGTTTTTTCAGCAGAACCAGCTCTTCCAGGTGTGAGACACCTTCCACGTTGCAGCAAATAATGTCAGCCAGGATGTATCAACATGCACTGAAATCCAGTACAGTAAATTCCATGGTTTTTACTCTTTTGTAAATATTAACATGTTTCTAATAAATATGTTAGTGTTTTTTATTAATACCACCACCAGCAGCTTCACATGGGCTGCAGTGGCACACGCAGCATTTCCATTAAGACAGAAGATACAGCACAACAGGAGCTGAACTGGTTTCACAGATCCTTAACATTTTAACAAACAGATTGGAACAAAATGGTTCTGAGAGAAAGAAAAGAGCTTTGCTTTGAAAGATAAGGGTCTTTCAAAAACTGGAAGAAATGGTCCATAGAGCAAAGAGCACAGAATGAACTGGAGAGAGGCACAGCCTTTCTCTAGGTAAGAGCAAGGATGCTAAGCCTGGCCACTTACTCTCGTGCCTGACAGGTATTTGGCAAATTTTTCACAAAATACACATAAATAGCCAGCAATGCAGCTAAATGAGGTTTCCATTTTTCTGCTGATCTAAATGGAATTAATCGTGCCATCTTTATCCAAAAAAAGAAGGGAAAAAAAAAAAGATTAAAACCATGGAGCTAGGCTTTCACATGCTCTGTAGGAAGTGAGAACCTACCCACCTACAGAAGCACAAGACTACCAGCTCTGAAGATCCTGCCAGCGGGCAGCTAATTACCTCCTCACCAGGAGGGGACCTGGAGGACAAGAACAGGATGAACGCAGGCCATGCCACAGCAATACCCTTCAGGGAAACCCTGCTCTGCAGCAGCTGGATGAAGGTGCCCAGCTCACATCCCTCCCGAGGCGTAAGCTGCTCGTTGCAGTACACACTCCCAGTACGGTTCCCACCTCCTGTCCCAGATGCTGTCTTTCAGAGCTGGCATTAGCTTTGCTGCATAAAGGAAAATACGTGACACCAAGGAAGGAAAATACGTGACATCAAGGAAGGAAAATACGTGACATCAAGGCATTCAAAGGAAACAGGTGTCTGCTACATGACTGAGCTCAGCTGCTGGAATTCAGTGTGACACCCCTGAATTTGCTCGCGCTTCCTCCCCCCGGGCAGCTGGAGGGCAGGGTCATCACCCTGGGCCACAACATCACTGATCCCTGCGGGACAGCACCGCTCTCTTGCTTTGGAGGTCACGTGCCGTCAGGCTAGATTTCACTTACCCACAAGTGCTGAAAGTGTCCCAAGTACTAAACAAGCATTAGCTCCAAACACACGCACAAAAATGAAAACAGATTAAATAAAGGGAAGTCTGCTTGTTTTAATGCCAGATTCTAATACCTTACCTTGCAGCACGTTGTATCGTTTTCTGCAAGTGGCCCCAGTAACACTGCATGCAAGGGTCAGTATATAGCCCTCTCCTTCCAAGCTGAAACAGGATCTCACAGCTATACTGCTCCTACCTCAAGGTACCCCAAAGTACCTATACAACACTGCTCTTACACATAGGATCTGTGGGAAGAAAGCTGCATTTGTTCAGCTATCCCTGTGTGTGCAGTAAAGGTTAGTTCAGACTGATCCTCATCATGCATAGTACAGCTTTGTTCAAGTTACATCCAGCCAAAATATTCATCATTTTTATGAGGACAGACATTTGGAATCAGGATCATGAATCAATGCAGCAACAGCACGAAGCACCGACAGGTATTTAGGGCAAACAGAAAAGACCATCTACTCCAGAGCTGGGGCAGAACAGTTTGTGCTAGCAAGTGTATAAATACATAAACTGGGAGAACACAGCAATGCATATTAATAACCACGTCATTGAAAAAGAGCAAGACTGAAGCACACACACAGAGCAGTCTTCTGACCCCTTGCCACACTAGAAGGTTATCCGACAAAATACAGCATTTTGGACAAGCAGTTCACCAAATGATCACAAACAGCCCATGAATAGGACAGAGAACATCCAGTGACACTTTCCAGTGCACCCAGTTTGAGACTGCAAATGCAGTTTAAGTCATTCCTACACAGACAACTCCACTGCAAACATTTAACACAGCAGAAACATAATTCTACAAGTTCTGTATTTCAGACGAACCATGCTCCTAAGTGCAGTTCCATTGTTTTCAAAGGACTCACTCACACGCATGTTAAGGCTTGTAAATCTCTGTTAATCAGTGTGCAATGGAAAGCATCATTTCCTCAAATCTGAAATCGGTTTCCACCAAAGAACGAACTCTAGCAACACAACTTCCCTTGAAATCAATCCCAAACCTGCAGAGTACTTGCAGAGCCCCCCTCTCAGTAATGAGCTACACTAAGCCCGCAAGACTTTTCAAAGGTATTTGAAATCCGGTCTGAATTTCTCCACCGGACATTCTCTGCAGCTCTGCCTCGAGGAGAGCATTGGCGATAACTAGTTTGCACAGGCAAGGAGAGAGCACAGGGAGCTTTCCTGTCTGGTCGTCCAACGCCAGCGGCCCCTCTCCCCTTTCCTTCCCAGGGGTCTCCTGGGGGGTGGAAGGGGAAGGATCACGAAGTGTTCCTGGAGGATGACTGTCCCCAAGCAGGAAAGATCTCATGGTGCTGTTCACAGTTCCTCCTCTCGGTCTCCTCTGCAGGTAGATCAGTCTCCATTTTAATGCAGCCGAGTAAAACAATACCAGCCACACACCTTATCTGACAAGCTCATTTCTCTGCTCTATCCTCGGTTCCTTACTAACCATTTGCTCCAATCTTTCCACCCTTCTGTCCCTCACAATGCTGCCTAAGTGTTAGGTGATTTGAAAAACCAAAACCCGCCACTCCTCCCCAGACTCCCAAATCATCCCTTGCTCACTCCATTTCCACGGAGGAAATTAACACCAAGCTGCCCAGGAAATGTGGCAGAGGCCATGGACACCATGGGTATGACAAAAGCCCGCAGTGGCGCTGAATTCTGCTCTACTGATCCATCGTTATTACCTGGTTTGCTCAAACCGCAATACTCAAATTACAAGAGAAACCATGAGATGTGATCCAGCCCTACCACAGCACAGTTATTTGTACTCAAGGTTTCTTACCCTAACACCCCCCAGACATCAGGCCTCGCAGCCTGCCTAGTCTAAGCAGTACCAATAATTTCTATTTTCAAGGCAAAAACCTGAACTGATGAAGCTAACCCTTTGTCAAATACAAACCAAGAAATGACACGTTGTTATCTTTCAAACAATTTTTACTGCAGGTTCTTTGCAAATATTTGCATAGTCATTACAAAAAATACCAAAGAAAATTTCAGTCTATTCAATTCCAGAGTTGTAATTTACAAAAAAATAAATAGCTTTACTCTAAAGAAGACAATCGTCCAGTATTACGGTCAGCAATATCATTCACAGAAGTCCGCATTCTCAGAGTGCTGAGTATTTGGGTCCGTCTAACTTAGTTTGCCTTCTTCCAGCATTTTGCTTTAAAAGTAAGACTATTCAGAGCACGAGAAAAGTAACTTTTTTCTTCCCACAGAAAACTGAACATTCAACATAGATCTTGAAAACCAGGCTCCACTGCTAATTGAATTGTTAGACCCCTCTGACACACAACTTTTTAAAAAAAAAGTTTTACTGTTTTTAAACAACTGTAACAGAACAGTTTCCCACAAAATTTAAGAGTCAACAGCAGCAGCATGAAGGGCATGTTTCTTTGATATAAGGCTAATGGTCCTTGATGTGGCAGAGCTTCTATTAAAGCACAGAACTGCCAAAGCCAAGGGTATTACAATCAATGTCACGCTGAGCCTGCAACCTCCGCTCGGGCAAATCCTCACTTCTCAACCTTGTCCCCACAGGCATAACCAGGATTCACCACCCAAGTCAGAATTCCTGAGTGAACTGGGTGTCAGATCAGGTATGGCATACTGCAACACACCAACTGCTACACGGATTTGGTTTTGGAGTGATTGTCATTCTAGACATGTTTAAATACTGCTTTGAAGTTGACTATGCTTTTTCACATCAGCACTACTGACTTGTTATAGTGAACTTGCTGCTCTACACTGTAAACACATGAAACCTTTAGGAGAATGCACAAAAGCATTAACCATGTACAGTAAATGTCATCATGAGAAAGTCTGGCACACGTTATTTCACAAGAAGAAAAATCTTTGGGCTATAGTACTATATGCCATAAAATGTTCCAAGTGCATCCCATAATAGATGGCTCACCAAATGAGGAATCAGCAAACAAGCAAATAACTAGCATTTGCAAAAGTATTTTTTTAAAAAAAGGGGAGCCTTCAGAACTTAAGAGCAGATGAAAAGAAAACTTTTCTGAGCTCCTCTGATGAATCACTCTGCCTTACATTTGAGCATATAATGGCAGATTTCTGGCAAAAATTAAAAGTCTCTGAAGTGTTTTGCACAGTGTGCGTGCTTCTCCTAAACCTGGCTAAAATCAATACTAAGGAGGATAAAGAAAAAAATTGCATTTTTATGTTACTTCTGTCGCCACACTCTGGCTGACTTCACTAGGTCTGAAACTGAACTGTACAGTTCACAGCAGCTCCGGGGAAGTTACAGTTCCCTGAATGTATCACCTCCCTCTTCCCCCACACGAACTAACCAAGTTCAAATGCTACACCAAGCCTGAATCTTTGGCCATGCTATAGAAAATGCCTTTTTCCTGAAGTAGGTGGTCTGGGCTACCACACTCCACCACTTCTCCTCTGTCCAGGACTAAAACCCTGTAAAAGAAGGGGGGAAAAAAAATGGTCACAAGAAGATCCAGAAAGCCAATGAACACAGATGCATATACACAGACAGAAACTGACTGTAGCGTAGCCATTATATGCAAGTGAAGACAGTCCAGACTGTGTGAAGGTACACAACTGTGTGAGGTTCTCAACTCTGTTCTTCCTGACCTCATTGCAGATGGTCTGTCTGGTCTATTTTTTTTATGTAGCGTACATTTACCCAGTCATAGATCTGCAGGCTGACATGAGACTTCTGACTGTGCTCTGAGCCAGCCAGAAACTGGATGGCAGCACTTCCTGTCAAGGTGAGTGAGAGCCCCTAAGACCTTGCAAGATCTGGGATAACCTTCCCGTAATACTGCACCACATCAACTGCTGTCATACAGCTTCTGCTGACAAAATACAAATGCAGACATAGCTTACACAAAACAAACGTGCAACTGGAATTAGGAAGTTTACAAAACAAATTACCAGAGTCAGTAAAGCCAGCCCACAGTTAAAACACTGCCTTCAGCTACCTCCACTAATTGGCCAGGCACTGCAGAGATGCTTGCTAAGCCCTTAGCAGGTGCTGCTGCACGGTGTTACCCACCACCGTGACTGAATCGGGTGTTCACCTGGTGACAGTACTGCTGGTGCTGGGCCTCGTGCAGGCAACGCTCCCCTCTCTTATCTTTCACTATTGACAGCACAAAGAGAGGTCTACAAAAGTACACAAAAATCTTATCACTGGTCACTTTGCTCTCTGCCATTCTGTGACAAAAAGGACAAGAGAGCTTAAAACTGAAATTATGAGACAAAAACTCTGCCCTCAACCACACCTTAGCAAGGCAGCCGAGGATGAGGGAGACTGTGTGAACTACAACCAAAAGTGATGGAAACGTTGAATAAACTTCAGACAAGTGCAGGACCTGCCCCCTTGATTCCTTATGCTGTCTGTGCCTAGTTTAGGGTATGAGCTCCCTAAAGTTCTGATGCCTCTTCCAGCTGTGCCTAAATTAGGGCAAGACCCAGGAATAGACTCCTATCCTCGCCTCCCTCCCCTTCCCCGTTTGCCTGGGCAGGAATGCCACAACAGCAGTGCGACAGAGGGATCAGAGGAGCTCGCCAGGCCAAGCACAGCCACCCCGCCCATCAAAACAGGGATTCCAGCAGCTCTGCGGAGAGGTGGCTACATGTGCACAGGTAAACATTCAGCTAATGCAAAGATGCTCATTTAAGTAGAGCACAATGCAGGTCACGCATGCCATTCTTCAAGATAAAAGTGGCATTACTTTACCTTGTGTAGTCCATGATTGTGTTCAGACGATGTGCTATAGTTAATACAGTACATTCTTCAAATTGAGACTTTATTGTTGACTGTATAAGCTTATCTGTTTCAAGATCAACAGCAGCTGTGGCTTCATCTAGAACCAGGATTTTGGACTTCCTGAGCAGAGCTCGTGCCAGGCACACCAGCTGGCGCTGTCCCACACTACGCAAATGGGATGGGAGGGTAGGGAAAAAAGTCAGAACAAGTTTGCAGTATTCATTTTGAAGCCCAGCAATTCCTTGTAAGAGCTCTTCTAAAGTATAGGTACCAGAATCCAGCAAAATAGCTCAGGTCGGTCCTACTACTTCACTGCAGAGTATCTAACAGCATCTGAAACTGCATCCCCCTCACAAGGAAGCCTTGGCAACATAGTAAGAGAATACATTACAAATGGTTTCAGCATAACTGAACCAATACAGCATTGAGGACTGGACTTTACATGGTTTCTACAGACTGAACATACATATCCCTGTTATGGTACAAAAAAGCAAGCTAATAACTCCCTTAGAAAAATTGCATCTGTTGGGCAAGAGCCACGGTAAGTTCAGAGCATCCACTATAACAGGCTGCTGCTACTAAAATCCTTTCTAAGACTGCCCAAGCTGTTGAACCTCACAGCATCCCAAGTTATTTCTTAAATTACATCAAATTCCCAAACTTGAGAGTTTAAAATATGTTGAATAAAATCTAGTTGGTTGATTGCCTGGTCATGCATTAAGAATTCCCCAACTCCCTCCCCAAATTCTGATACGGGGCAGGGGGAGCCCCACACTGCATTGCTATTGCTAGGGTCTAGCTACATACTGTCCCAAGCGAGCCGTAAGGTGCCTGGAAGCGGAAAGTCTAGTTGCAGATGGGAGGGCACACGCACACCTCTCTTGGTTCTCATTTAGTTCTTAAGGCAACTTTCACAAGCACGGCTCTGACATACCTGAGGTTCTCTCCACCTTCAGCACACTCATGATTAAGTTTATCAGGAAGGGACGATACAAAGTTTTTCAGGTGAGCCAATTCCAAAGACCTCCAAATGTCTTCATCGGAGTGTTGGTCAAAAGGATCAAGATTCATACGCAGAGAGCCAGAAAACAAAACTGGATCCTAGTCATACAAAGAGATAATTGACAATGTACACAGAACATGGCAATTGCTCCAAAAATATTGCTTAGATAGTGAAAGGAAAACAACATGTCCAGGTACAGCTGCAAGCAAGCTAATCTACTGAATTCAGGAGTGAGACTTCACTTTTTCCAATAACAGCAAGTTACTCTCCCTCACCCTTACTCCTTATGCCTCTTGGGGGCCTGGCATCTAATCTCTCCAGACTGTGGCACTCTGGACCTTTCCATGAGTCAGTAACTCATGAATCCAGAAGGAAAAAAAAAACCCCAAAACAAAACAAAACAAAAAAACCAGCAAACTTTCTGTTTACTGAGCTACTAAGTTAAAGAACAAGCACTCCCTGCCCAACCTTCTGTCAGCAGGGACTACTAGGTCAAGTTTCCACTTCTTAGGGACTTACACCATCTGTAAATATTTCAAAAGTCTTCAGCTGCAGTATTAATGAAATGAATGCATTTTTCTTCTTGGACATGGAGAAATACTACTTTGGAAATACTTTTGACTTAGTAGTGTCAAACTGATGCAAAGTGATCAAAAAGAGAAAGCAAAGTCCCACCCAGATTTCCAAAAGTGGTGCAGAAAACCTTTTACAGCGTGCTCACTTGTTTTTGCCAGTGTGCATTTTATGGTCTTACTCTGAATCAGAACAGGCAGGCAATAAAGGCTACAGAGCAAGAACAAGAAGACTCGAGACTGTAAATCCAGTGCTCATAAAGCCATATTTCCAAACGTTTTGGACTATCAAACCCACAGCCGCTGGGCTAGAGTGGGATGGTTATGTACAGGTTTCTGTGAGTGAACAGTACTGCATACCTCGCTCACAAGATCCTGCCAAAGCCAGAATGCTTTGTACAAAGGCCCAAAGAGTGCACATCAAGCCTGAAATAGCAACTCAAAATTCCAATCCCTCACAACTAGACTACGCAGCAACTTCATTCCATTTCTAAAAAGAATGAAACTACCTAAAATGAAAGTGGAAACTGATCTCTAGAAAAAGTCCCCTGAGGGCTCTCCACAAGTGGAAATACTCAAGCTTTACTTCTCCTCTACTGGCCAAAAGAGCAATGGTCCCAGTTAACTCAGGGACCCCGATCAGGTGTTCAGCTGGGATCAGACCTCCCCACTCAGGCTAAGCTGTCTATAGCATTTACGTGATCAGCATGGGGTGCTGACAAAGCCCATGAGTCTAAAGACCAAGGTGTTGCTTCCACATCACAATTCAGCCATAGCCAAGCCCCTGCTTGTTACCCAGCACAAGCAAATTGAAGCCAGTCTAGGAAAAAAGCTTGGTTTCAAGTCCATGAAAGAGCATGCTGAAATGACTCAGTTTCATAGCTATAGATCAGAAAAGGAATAAATATATTCTCCCCAGTACATTACAGAAACAGCACTGTTACAAAACGAGTTCTGGTAATGGCAGAATTTCACACCTACCTGTGGGATGATGGTGATCTTGAAGCGCAAGTCATGGAGCCCTATCTTTGCAATATTAATTCCATCAATAATAATTTCTCCTTCAGCTGCTTCATTAATCCGAAACAAACCCAAAGTAAGTGAGGATTTTCCAGCTCCCGTTCTTCCAACTATTCCAATCTGTTGGGTAGAAGTACAGGAACAACTTACTCTGGAAAAGAGTTAAAGCATTTCCAAGCATCTACCTGAAACTGTGTCCTGGTTTCAGCTGGGATAGAGTTAATTTTCTTCCTAGTAGCAGGCATAGGGCTGTGTTTTGGATTTAGTAGGAGAAGAATGCTGATAACACACTGAGGTTTTAGTTGTTGCTAAGTAGTGCGTATGCTAGTCAGGGACTTTTCGGCTTCCCATGCTCTGCCAGGTGCACAAGAA